CAATAGGAGAAACATGAAAACAAAACAAAGTATGTTTCAAACAGGATGAAGAACTGGTGAATGAGCCCTTCCTTAGGAAGAAAAATATGGGAATAAAATATTCTTAGAATTCTATCACCATCTTACATTTTTTGACAAAGCCAATAGTTTCACTATTGGGTAATGGAGAATCTGTGTTTTCTCTCCATCTGGGGAGGACTCCCCTAATAAACAGAGCTCGAGCTGCAGTCAAGTATCAACTGAATAAAAGAGCCACCTCTTAATAGCTGACGCAGGTGATGCTGAACAGCCCCAATGGTCAGAGATAAGCTAAGAAGGAAATTGGTTGATTTCAAGAAAGGCCTGGAGTCACCCTCCGGGCTGACCCAAGTTGTTTCAAGTGATGAGTGGCTATGAAGGTGACAAGATGTTATTGGCCTGAAGAAAATAAGTTTTGTTTGCTTCTCTAAGGACATAGAAAATGTGTGTAGTGAATTTCCTCCCTAAGACTGGGAACATAGACTGCTGTCAGTGTCCTGATATATCTATCACCAAATGAGAAGCAAAGACTACAGAGGCATTTAAAGTTGTGCCTCTAAATAATCCTAAGTGGGCAGCCCAAGAAATCAAGACAGAAGAGGGAATATGCTTTTCTTACACTTTCAGTGTTCATCATGTCTCCCTCAAGTTCTCCAATAATCTTTTGCTTTTTTTATTCTTCTAGCATATCTAACTCTCTTGGACAGGGTCCTTTTTACTCAAGAATAGTCTTAGTATTAAGCTTTGTTACTTGCTGGGAACTAACAACACATCACATCTGAACAGTTTAACTTGTTTTTATCTAACGATGAAACTCGACAGGACTCTTCAGTATTAGTACCCCAGTGGGCTTTGTATATGACCAGGTTAATTTGCTGGCAAAGTAAAAATTATATACTTCATCTGTGTGGGAATTTAAACACTAAAAGAAGATGCTTTAATTTCATGTTATCCTTGAATTTTCTTCAAGGTTTTTCAATGTATTCCAAATTAGAATGAGAAAAAATTTAAGTGCACTTTTTAATATCAATGATTCAAAATGTGTGTTTGTGTTTGGGTGTGTTTGTGTTCAAGTCATTGTACCAACAATAGACCCTTGCATCCAATAATCCATTTCTATGTACTAAGAAAATCCAAAACAACGTTCCACTCTGAAAATTCAGGGAAGGGATGGAAAAATTAAAAAATATGTCCCTAGTTATTGGAGTGGAAGAATTTTACTATGTAAACAGAGATCTTTTAATTCAGAACTAATAATTGAAGTAATGAATTATCTCAAGTATTTTAATCTAATCACCAACACAACAGATTTCCGGAATTGCTAACCAATGAGCAAAATAAATTTTATTTTGTATTATATAAAAAAAGAAAAAAGCTGTTAGATTTTGGGATAGTACTCTGCTGATTTAACAACACCATAGATATACTCTTTTATTTATTTATTGTTGTTTTTAACTTTGCAAAAACCCCAGGAAATGGAAATTGCTATGTGTTTACAATTTGAACTCAAATGTATTAGAAAAAAATTGGTAGATGTCTTTTATAAAATAATGTATTTATAGAATTTGACACAAAGAATAATAGCTAAGGTTATACAACTCAGAAGAATAAAAGATACTACATTAACACAAAATTGTCTTTTAATGTTTGTTTACCAGTTCATTGTATCTTACAGAAAATGAAAACATTATTTTTGTAATACAGATTGGTTCTTTTTCTCCGATTTGTACTCAGTAGGTATTAAATGCCTTTAAATACTGATTTTCTTTAAATCAGGTGCCTTACTGACTTTTTATATATTTTATTTCTCCTGTTGTACATCATTGCTACTCTGGCAGTAGTGAGCTGTGATAGTTAGCTTCTCAACAAAACTGTCAGTTATCCATTGATCATTCTTGATGCTGAGAACTGATAGTAATTCCCTTTTAATCCTCCCCTACTAGTGTTCAGCTACTCCATGAGACCACCATATTATTTGGAGCACTGAATCCAGAAACCCAGTATGGCTGCCAGCAACCAAATTGGTATCTCCTTTGAGTCTACTTTTAATTGCCAAAACAATAAGCGACTATATTATTGCTTAAAATAAAACTTTAACAGGTACCGGCCCCCTTCCTATGCGAAAAAGTTTAAATTTACAAATATCATATTTGACTAAAAATTACTGTGCTAAAATATGGCACAGTCATTAAAAGGTGGCTTCCAGTGTTAATGTGATTAACTTGCTTCCCTTCCTATTGTCTTTTTATATGAATCCTTCCTTATTGTTTGGTTTTCAAATGTAGGTCTCCCAGTGAAACTTGCAGATCAACTTTGTTGCTTATATGGGCTACAAGTGTTAATTATGGACAAAACGATCAAAACAAGATTTCCTAACCCCGAGTCCCATCTTATTTCTCTGATACTCTTGGAACCCAAGTCTGAGGAGCAATTTCTGAATTAGCCAATGTGGTACTGACTTTCTGTTCAGAAAGGTATTAGGAAAACCTTTCTTTTTTCAATATTCTCAGTGATACATTTTGGGGAATGATGTAGGAAAATAGACATTTGGTGGAAACATGGAAAATGATAACATTAAAAGAAAAAAACCCAAAAAACTATTCAAGTAGAAGTTCAAAAGGGTAAGGAGATCCTCATCCTTTAGGGGAAATCAGAAGATAAAAATTCTGCCCAGCAGTATTTATTTTTTAAATAATTTTTTTTACAAGCTTAGAAAAATGGTGTGCCATCAGTTTAGATTTTAATCAGCTAAAAGTCAGTCCAGAGTTTTTGATCAGCACCAGTTCCTATACTAGTAAGTATTCAAAAGTTAAGAAATGGTAACTACTATGCTTAACATTATAAAGGTAGAGCTTTGCAGCAATCAACTGAACATTTTAAGTCTTCTTCAATATAAATTTGTTCCTAATTGCATTGCCAATAAAAATCTTGTAATATGGGTAATAATCATTCAAGTATAGGCTTCCACCAATGAGCTCCCCCAATACTTGAGGTGATAGGATCACTCTTTTGGAGATAGTCCCATCTTTAAATAATATATTTATCTTATTCTAGGCCATTCAAATATTTTTAATTTAAAAGTTCAAGTTCTATTTATATCAGCGATGTTTGAGTTAAACCTCACAATCTCTTTGGATTTATATTTGTAATTTTCGCACAATTTGCATATCCAACCTAATGTAAAAATGTGCATGCATACATTGTCATCTTTTAATATTAAAGCATCTGAAAATTTCCAGCTCTGCTTTTGATAAAAGAAGCAATCTACTTTTATTTACAACATTTTCTCTAGATAATGTAAGTATAGTTATGGTTTTATTGACTTCCAACTGTTCTGTATCTTCCACACATGTGACTCTACATTTAGAGAGTAAATTTATTAGAATTATTACAGAGCCTTATATGCAACCACAATCAATTCAGGAAATAGATTTATTTACTCATGTTCAAGGGAAGAAAAATCTACATAAAAAACATTCATGAAAGCACACCAGCTATGTCGTACTTGGATTATGATACTAAATCCCATTTATTAGAACTCATTGTGAAACAATGGGAAACCATAAAATGTAATTTGAATACAAATATTGGTCCCTGTGGGGTCTCAACAGTCATAAAAAATATAGGAAAACAGAGCTTTATTTAAGATTGGAGCTGCTAAGCAAAAGTTGTTTTTCTGAAGCTGGTCTTACCTTTTCCCTTACAGCCCTGATGATTTTAGTGTAAACTCTGTGATGACAGCTTCAGTGCTTCATTTACACCTAATGATGACCAGCAAGGAAAGTGATATCATGGACCACATTTTCTTATGGAGGAAGGTTTAGAACTACTTGGTTGATTTTCCCCTCCCAACCACAGGCACCAGTTGGGCTTTCTAATGTATATACAAATAAAAAAAAAAAAGAATTTTGAAAGTTGTGTCCTTATTTCTTGGTTAGGAAAGTGTGCAGTTATTCATTCCTTTTATGATTTAAATGTTTTAATGTAATAGAAATAAGAAGGAAATATTAAATAGTTTAAAGTTATTTTTATAGGACAATAATATTTCATAGGCTAACATAAAATCAAGCTGCTAAATTTTACAGTTTTTCTGTCCAGCAGTTTATCTATATAACTGCCCTGAGTAGATGCTAAATGCTGCTTAGCCAACGACCCTTAGAATTTAAATATAACTCAGTAAAGCTACTCAAAAGATAACACAATTCCTCGTAGGCATGTGTAATTTTAATTAGAAGGTAGAGTCTCTCATTGGTTAAATATTATCTGCTTATTTAAATTTCATACTTCATATAAATGGGGTCATTAAGGAATTTTAACTGTGCTTTTTTACTATGCATTGAAGTCCATATGAATGCTGCTTCTTATTTTGGTCAAAAAAGGCAGGATGTTGGAAGAGTAAAACATTCTATTGTAGACTTGCAATGGGAACTTTTTAGAGAAGTGTAGATTATCCCCTCGTGAGACTGAGTTTTGTGCGACCTCTCAGAATCTCCGTTTATGTTAAAGAAGCCTATGTCAAATCTGCTGCTCTAGCTTGCTTCTTGTGCATCTCAAAAAATCAGACCAATGTGTAAAATGTGTGCTTGTGAAAGCTGCTGCTCCGGGGAACTTCCCTTTCCTTAACCTAATCCTAGTAATCCTCAAAGGATTGCATGCCCGGCTCAGGAAAGGATGCTTCCTTAGGAGATGATATAGCCTAAAGCGTTTGGCTCAAAAGCCTCCTTATGCAGGACTTTCCTTAAAGTTATATTAATTTATACTATAGAGTGAATGATAGCTTTACAAAAAAAAAAAAAAACCAAATGCATGAATCGATCTTTATGAAAATGACTCTTTACAGTAAGTAAAAAAAAAAAAAAATCGTTATCACAGTTTTGGTAACTTGCATGAGTTCATACGGAAAACAAAACAAAACAAAACAACAAAACACCTTTCACATGTTCTTAATGACGTGAAGCCTGGCGCCGCGCTGTGGGGCGCGCTCAGTTGTGCGCTCGGAAGCAGTAGACGCCGTAGAGCTTGTGCTTCTTGTCGGGGAAGCCGGCGAAGCGCACGGCGGCCTCGGTGGGGCTGCAGCGCCTCCGCGGCCGGGCGATGGGGTAGCGGACGCTGCCGTCCTCCAGCCAGCCCGCGTCGCAGCGGTCATAGCCCAGCAGCTTCCAGGCCGCGAACATCTGGCCTACTTTGGCGATCCGAGCACCGTCCTGGAGACAAGCTTGCACCGCTTCGTCGTAGGTCAGCTTGGTGGGGTGGATCAGGTAGTAAAAGCGGCCTGCGGGGAGGAGGGGAGCGGAGACGTCAGCATTTTGACTATGTGGCCCCCTGCAGAAAGTTGGGTGGATCCCTGATTCCTTGCAAATTTTTTTTTTCTTTTCTTTTCCCCCAAAGCACATCACCAGGGTAGATACCAATGAAGGGGTCCGAGTTTACTTCATGGGGGTGTGGCCTGTGCAGTGGCTTACTGCCTTGCTGTCACCATCTTAACAGGTGCAATGATTTTTGGTCAAGGAACCCACATGTTCACCCCCACATGATGTGGCTGTGTCTAGAGGGAGGGAGCAAGGTAAGGCTGGGAGTGATGTTGAGTATGAGGAGAGCCCCAAGCAGGGGGAGTGGGAGGTGGAGCGCAATGCCTGGGCAGGTTTGGGGACCTAGGATCCTCAGTCAAAATGCGCCCCTGATTCGCTCCCCACTAAATTAGCTGATTTTTCTTTGCCCCTTACTCCATGCTCAGACATGCCCTTTGATAGCTGTAAGAAAAGAAAAGGGAAATGGCAGATGCAGTTTCTGTTCGCTAATTAGTGACTGAAAGGCCCCTCTGTGGCGCGAGGGAAGACAGAAGTCCATGCTAAAAGCAAGGGCTATTGACATTCTGGCTGTGGTGGGACTGAGCCCCAGCACAAGTTTCTGGAGAGGAAACATTTGAATGTGAAAGGATCAAAAAAAAAAAATGCCTGACATAAAAGTATTTTTAAAAAAATCAAAGCCCTCAAGTCCTTTTCATTTCAGGTATCAATAAGGCATTCTTCTTCAAAGGGTACAGTATGAAAATGCAAAAATAAAAAAAAAATAGACAGGAAGTCACTTGCGATGAATAATACTGGCTCAGAATGTGGACCTAGTCTGTTCACTCCCTAAGCAGAGGATGACTTATATTTTTCAACTTCATTCTGTAGGAGCCTGATACCTAAGTGTTTGTTTTTTTTTTTTTTTTTTTTTTTGTGTGTGTGTGTGTGTGTGTGTTGTTGTTTTTTTATTTCACAAGAAAGAGTAAGTTAGTCTCACCCACTTATTGAATAGTGTTAATTACTGAGATTCCTTCAATATGTATACAATCCATAACATATGACATCAACTGACTGAAGTGACATAGGCCAATTGAAGATTTTCTCAGACTTCATTTCAATTAGAATTTTATCACTCTCTTATCTGATTATACATTGTAATGTAATATCTTTCTACCCCTCATTAAATATAGATTACTGACGTGTAAATGAATGCTTACCTATTCTTTCTAGACTAAGACTATGTGGTTCTGAGAAAGTGGAGGCCACCGGAACATTAGCTACTAGCGTTAGTTCTATCATCTACACCAGTGGCCGGCAAACTACACCAGGAGTCAAATGAGGTTTCATTAGAACATAACCACACCCCTCCATTTAATAGTGCCTATGGCTGCTTTTGAGTTACTACACACAAAGCTACATTGATTGAGTAGTTGGAAAAGAGGCCAGAAGGCCCACAAAGCAAAATAAATAAATAAATAAATAAAAATAAAAAAATTACTATTTGGCCTCATACAGAAAGTTTTGTTGATCCGTGATTCCTTGCAATTTTTTTCAAAGCACGTCAGCGTGGAACATATATACCAATGAAGGGGTCAGAGGTTACTTCATAGGTGTGTGGCACATGCTCTCATGATTGGCTTACTGCCTTGCTGTCACCATCTTAAAATTCTCACTAAGTTTTGATCAAGGAACCAACATTTTCACCCCCACATGATGTGGCTGTGTCTAGCCTGGAGCAATGTAAGGCTGGGAGTGATGTTGAATACGAGGAATCAGTCACCAAGACGGAGGCAACCTGGATTTCTTCTCTTCTGCTTTCACCGCCAATGTCATTTCTACTTATTCCTTTTGCAAAGTTCTCTTCATCCTGAGCTTTGTTGATCATTTAATGAATAGAGTGACATTGTAATTTAGTGAAGGAGAACATGACACAGAAGCCACCCCTACTTCCACTTGGAATGTCATGCCTATGGAGGGCACATGGTAACGGCAGCATCTTTGCAATAAGAAACAAACCCCAGACAACATCATAGCTTAAACTACCTTATATAATAAGAGAGGAATATACTGATTATCCGATACGCCATGAGGCCTTATGACAGACTGCATAACGAACGGGTCCCAGACGGATCCGCAGGAGGGTGGGGCAGCTAACTACACGCGGGAGGCGGAAAGCTACAGGAGTGGCAGGTCAGCAAGCTGGGGGGAGCGGGGGACAGGGCAGCAGTCGGAGAGCTACAGGAGGGCTGCAGCGACCTACTGGCACACAAATTCGTGTGCAGGGCTACTAGTTTCATAATAACAAGCAGACATAATAAAACCTAAGAATAGTGGAAGTCTACACTTTTGCTTGACTTCTGTGGATTTAAAAAAAAAAAAAAATTAGGCCATCAAAGAACTTCTTATATCTTTTCAAACTGGAGCAATACTGCAAAGCACTTATCTTTTTAAGTAGATAAGGTTGAAAGACAAGTGTAGCATCCTAGTACCTATTCGTCTATGGTATAGGGAAGAAGGCAGTACAGTTAATATATATATTTTTTTACCATTGAAGTTGGATGTGAAGCAAAACACATCATATCTGCTTTTCTCTTTATCCCAAAACCCGTAGTTCCTGACACCGGGCACGGTGTTCTGGCCTCCGCAGGGCTCCCTGGGCTTGGTGATGGGGTATTGCACGGAGCCGTCGCTGAGCCAGCCAGCATTGCACCAGTCCAGCCCACCCCGCCAGGCGTCATACAGCTGGTCGAAGGAGGCAATCACAGCATCCTGGTTCAGGCAAGCCTGCTGTGCTTCATGGAAGTTGAGATTATAGCGCCCCAGTCGTGGGAAGTAAGGGAATACCACACCTGTCCAAAGGAGAGAGCAAGGGGTTATTAGTGGAACCAGAGTCACATTTTACTGGAAAAAAACAACCGACAGCAACGGGATCTGCATCAGATGAAGTAGTAGTTTTTGGACAACTTAAAACAGGAGTCAAATGAAGTTTCGTGTGCAGGGCTACTAGTTTCATAATAACAATCAAACAATCTTATGGTCCCTCTCCCCTTCAAACAGCCGGTCAGCTCTGAGCATGTCCCAGTGTGCTTATTTGGTTTGATAACTTCAGTGATTTATTTCTTCTGCTAAGAGTTCAACTCAACCCTTGAAATTCTCCTTTCTGAAATTATTCATCTGCAGATTATATTTTCCAAATAGCTTGCCTTGAGAATTTACCATCTGCTACTGGTTACTACCTAAAAGTGTATTCCTGAGTTCCCTTGTCTTGGGAAAAAAAAAATCAATATTGAATATTAAGCATGGTAGGGGATATAGAAATAGTTCTGAAAGAGGAGGTAGTTATCAAAATTCACAATGTTTTTTTCTTTGTAATCTTATATAATTACTACTTGATTTAATATTTTATTATTTATTTATTTATTTATTTATTTTAAAAATATATTTTATTGATTTTTTACAGAGAGGAAGGGAAAGGGATAGAGAATTAGAAACATCGATGAGAGAGAGTCATCGATCAGCTGCCTCTTGCACATCCCCTACTGGGGATGTGCCCGCAATCAAAGTACATGCCCTTGACCGGAATCGAACCTGGGACCTTTCAGTCCGCAGACCGATGTTCTATCCACTGAGTTAAACCGGTTTTGGCTAATATTGTATTTTAAATGCAAGAATAAGCATCAGTTATTCAAATGCAGATATATAATTTGTTTTATACGTGCTCCTAAAAACTTGCAGATAAGTATCTTTTACTTAGAAGACTTCTGATTTGGAGACACCCGAAAGTGAAATCCTTTGCATATCTATCAAAAATCTAATTAAACAGAGTTATTTCATCTTAATGAAACAATTCTTTACTAGGAAAAACACCACCATAAAAAGCATCATAGCTCTCTTATTTGTTTCAATTTTTACTATAGTCTTCATCCCCCTTCTCTCCCCTGTCCTATACAAGGTACGTACAGAATAGACATCTGCTGATTCAGTTCATGCCAAAGAATTAAGTTAAATACTTGAAAGGGAAGAATTCTTAGCAAATGTAAATGGTGGGACTTGGCACTTGGCTTTGCCTGGGAAGATACAATGGTTTTCCAAAAGCATTTTCTTTTTCAGCCAAATAATCATGAGAGGTGATTGAGCTGTCTTACAAATTGCTGCACAATTATTTTAAAAGACAAGGATTACACATGAAAGCAAAATTGTACCCTTTGCTGGACTTTCAGAAGGACCACTGCATCAAAATGTCTCCTCCATAGTTGCTGAAATATAATTCCTTTAATGTAATTATTTAAGTCATTGCCTTGGCTTTTTAGAATATAATTAGAAGTAATTAATATTGTACCATGTGAAATACAAAACATTGTCCCACTGACAGTAATTTGGTGAATTATATCACATGTGCTATTTTTTTATGAGACTATAGACCCTATTGAAGATGAATGTGCAATTCACTAAGAGTGCAACCAGTACAGAGGAAATGTTTCTTTTATAAGTTGCCCTGGAAGACTCTACAGAAATTTCAATAGCCTGGATCAAGCCGCGTCCGCCAAAGGGTTCTGCAGGGCACGTTTGTCCCTCTGGGGCAGTCCAGCTGGCACTGCCCACTGCAGGCAAAGATCCAGGAAGGCTTCTCGATCTCATCCTGCCTTCTCAGGTTCTTGGCTGAGGGATCTGTGAGCTGAACCAAAGCCAGAATGAAGGAGGAAAAGACTCTCTGGGTTGCCCCTGCCCCCTGCAGTGATGATGGAAGGGAAGGCTGGAGGTGGCTCTACCTAAGAAGAGCCATGCCCAGGCATCTGGTAAGAACCTAATTAGCAGCCTAAGGAAGGGCCACAATGTGCTCTGTCTCCTTATGCCTTACATCTTTGTTCCCCAGCTACCCCATGAATGCTGCTATCAAAATGCTAAACTTATCCAATAGAGATTTCTTTAGCAGCTAAACATCAAGTGAAAGAAAAATCTTGAAGTCTCTCAATGTGGAAAGAGGAAAAAGTTATATGGTTTGAATTCCATTTCTCATATGACTCAAGATGGTAACAGTGGAGAATGTAGAGCATTTTAATTTAAAATAATTTTTAAAACCATGACAATATTTTGGGTTTAAATTTGCTGTAGTATATTTAGTGGACTTCCATGGGTGTTAGGAAAAATTGTTTTTAGTAACTAGTCCTTGATTAATCACTGAATGTTACTGAAATAATATTGATTCAGTTCCAAATCCAGTGTAACATATTTTTATTTGAGTTTCTTTCAAATTTAACATAATTTCAAGCAAGCATTTCTTAAAATACAAATGAAACTCTATCTTAAAATTTTTGCTATTTTTCAATTATAAGAATAAATGATCAACTTATTGTTTTATTAACTTAAAAGATATTGTACATTATAGTTAATGTTTAATGGTACTGGAAAGAACACATTTCTAAAACATTAAAGTTACTGTCTATGTTTTACTCAGACAACACTTTAAAAGCTTCAGTGTATTGTATACATTTAGTGCATACATTTAAACACTCAGATGTTTCTTACAAGCCAGGGCATTTCTGAAACTACATGTTTGTTAGTATTTATTTATTTATTTGTTTGTTTATTTTACTTCCAGCTTGTTAAGATTTCAACATCCAAAACTATGATTACAGAAACCATCTTGACTTTGGGAAGATGTGCAATTCCTACAGCTGAATTAGGGAGCAAATGGTGATTGTTTTTTCCAGCACTTATAAAAAGTTAAACTTTCATGGGTATGAAGAAGGATGTATACCTATTTTACAAGTGTAATTATTTTATATGTCAAGATATAACAAATCTTTACTTTTCCATAGAGGTCTGGTATGCATCACTACAAAGGGGATTGATAAGAATGATACACCACATGGAAATGAATAATATCAAATGATGTGAGTAGTTTCATCAGTCCAAATGTTTTGAAAACACATTCTTTAAGATTTATAATTGAATAGTTCAATTCATCCTAGTTGTTGGCAAAAATCAATTTGTTAGACATGTGAAAGGTTTTCATGTCATGATATATATAGAAACTAAAGTAAATTTCAATAACTCCATAAATATATATAGTAATAAAAAGACAGAGACCAGGCAGCATAGTTTTTATCTTCTTTTATGCCTCTCATAGTGCCTAGTAGATTTGTGTACATATGTAAAATTATTTTCCTATTTCTCAAAGTCCTCAGATGATATTTTGGTGTATTTGGGCTCAATTTCAGCAATGTTCATGGATATTAATTTGAATTAATAAAAACTGAAAGCACAAGGTGGCATTCGATCAGGAGCCAAGAACTACAGATAAGAGAGATGATTAGGTCATAAAAATGCACTTTACTGCATCATGTAACTTATTAGATAAGAAAAGCTAATAGTTCTCCATACATGTGATGGGGTCCTAAGGGCTTCAAAAGTTAGATCTTCAGTGATGGGCTAGTGGACCAAACACAAAATACTTTCCCAGAGGCACAAATCCATCCTAGGATGCAAAAGAAGCTTCTAACAAGCACACACTTATAGTTTATGTGCATACAGAAAGAAATTATTCTATCAATGCAGCCAAAATTTATCCTCCAGTGGAAAGAAACTCTGGAATTCATGAATGTAAGATGTTTTGAGATATGTGAGAAACCAGTGAATTTCCCCACTGGTGGGGCATTTAGAGTGTGTGGGCTTTGGGCAGAGGGGACACAGGATGATGACAAGGACACTTTTTATTATTTAGCTTTATATACATTTTTGTTTTTTAATCTACTTAATGTATTATATGTATAAAATTTTACCTTAATGTTAAATTAAGTTTTCACAGTTACTTTACAAAATATAATTGCATATACTTCAGTTAGTAGATGTCCTTCAAAAAATGGTCATTATTTTGAAACTAAGATAATTTTAGAAGTATAATAAAAAGTGTCAAATTGGAATGTCTTAATAATTATGTAGTGAGATTTAAATTTTGAATAGTATCAGGCAGTTTCTGAATATTATTAATTCAGTTATACTGCACATTTCTCCTACGTGCAAATGGCTTCGATTTTGCACATAACCATTGTGTGTACATTTCAAAAATGGAACTTGGAATCGTAGACAGACTATAAAACGCAAAATAATTGAAAAATATTCTATGAATGGACTTTTGGTTTCTCACATCATCCTTATGGTAACCACTGGTCATAAAAAAGAAAGAGCAATGATTAATTATAATTTCTAAGTTTGACATGATTTATAGATGCTTACCTTGTAAATCTAATGACACCACAGCAGTATCATCTTCTAATCCTTCAATCACCTCACACTTATATTTCCCATAATCCTCCAGGGTGAGGTCTGTGATCACCAGGGAAGCATCATTATCACTGCCTCCTTTCAGAAACACTCTCCCCTGGTAGCCTCCGTAGGCTTTCTTGTGGTATCCCATGGAAACAAAAACGTCCACTTCCTTGAGGTAATCTGAAGTGAGCTTGGTCCACTTAATTCGGATTTTGTGGGTTCCTGAGCCAAATGCCATAGGGTCTCGAAAAAATTTACATGGCAGTGTAACATTGCCACCTCTATGTGAGAATACCTTGGCTTGTTCTGCTTCCACCAGTAGATGGGGACCATTTTCTGCTGTAATTAAAAAAAGAAAAGAACAATTAATATGTGTTCAGACATTTTTATGAAATGAAATATGCTATCTATACAGGGTATCTGATGAACAGCAATAGTGGGTAATAAGCTTCTTTGCATTATTGAACAGTAGTCTCTTTGAACCACCTAGAAAGATACCTCTGATACTTAGAGGGCATAAAGTAGCTATGTCTTTTAAACCATTGATAAAAGGAAAAATATGCACTATAATCACTAAGAAATATTGGGTATAAAGCTCCATGATCATCTGAAGTTTGGCGATTTCATAATAAATTTTATTTTTTATATTTAAATATAAAATGTAGAAACAAGAAGAGAACTGACAAAGAACCGGGGCTATTTCATCAATATAAACCAAAAATTTTGTAGGCAAACTTTTCTCTTCATAGGTGAGCTATCTAATACAATAAATATGTATTGTATTTATGGTAAAAGTATAAAACAACCTGATTCACTTTTATTATACTTCTGGCCAAAGAACTTAGAATAGCCTCACATATGGCCTCTATTCAAATATATACCCATGATTAAAATGTCATTCTGGAGCATGTACATATTTTAAGCAGCATGTATATATTTTATTTTCACAAAAGGTATTTTTAGCAAAGGCTTTATAAAACCTCCAGATTTTGAAATCTATTCCTCAAAACTTGAATGTTAAAAGTGTTATCCAAAGTTATACTTGTTTTCCAAATAATTACTTCTTTATTCCTTTAAATCTCCATCTCCCTTTGTTTCCTGCTATTTCTTACTTAACAGTTATCTTATCACATCCGCCTTTCATTTCCTTGCCCTTTTGCTTTCCTCGTTGTCCCTCCTCCAAGGACTTTATTGCCTTCCAGAGAGGACTGCAGAGTTCTAAGCTTGCCAAGTCAGCAGGCCTGCGGTTCTCCAGAGAGCCGGCTGTTATTTTCAGATCTTGGCTTTCTCTGGGGTTTCCCCTGGTTAGCTCATTGTGCTTCTGACCTTGACAAGGTCTCTTGAGGATGTGCAAGATTTGAAAATGAGAAAGTGATATAAGAACTCCTGGAAACACAAAGCTTCTCATCTATACACAGCTTTCAAAGGCTGCCAAAATGCCTTTCATGTAGCCCTTCCTGCCTTTGACAGGTAGGTACTGAGGAACTTTTGGCCATGAATCCTTTAAGATACACAAGATACCATGAAGAGTAGCCACTCATCTCCAGGCAGATCTCAAAACGTATTCAATGGCAAACATAGGAGTCAGATTTTAAAATATAAAAGTGTATAAAAATATTTGCAATGGTTTTGTTTTTATCATATAGCAAACAGAATTATGTAATGTTGAAAAATAAACATAATTTCATGTATAAATCAGCCCCAATCCTCAGAAATTGAAAAGCCATCAATAATCCCACTTTGAAGAGATTTAAAAAAATAGAGAGGACAATTGCTTAATTAAAATGAATCATACATATCATTAGGCATTTCCTTTAGATTCTATTTTTTATCTCCTTATTTTAGAACTACAGAATTATAAGAGATGAAAGGTAAATCTATCCCACTCTATCCTACATATAATTTCCCCCCTACCATATCCCCAATGACTGCATCCAAGTTCTGCCTTAAAAGTCTTCTTTCTGGGAGGGGGAAAAAAAAGCTGTGGACTAAGTTTGCTCAGTGATGTCTGAGGGCCACAGGGAACATCTCCCCAGATCCTTGGGAGTTGGGCCTTCTTCTGCAGGGACTTGAGTTTAGACATGACACACAGCTGCAAGAGGTTCCATTTTTGCCCTGGTGGTTTTGGCTCAATTGATTGAACATAAATAATCCTGTGCTCTGAGAGGTTCAATTCCAGATCAGAGCACATGCCTGGGTTTCGGGCTGTATCCCCAGTAGGGGGCGTGCAGGAGAAAACAGATTGATGTTTCTCTCATCCATGTTTTTCTCTCTCCCTCTCCCTCAAAAAAATATATATTTTAAAAAAGAGGAAGTAGTTTCATGATTCTTCTAAGCTTTGTAAAGTCAGAACTAATGCCCAAATGCACTGGGATAGGGGTGTTACAGTAGTTAGGCAAAGGGCTTTAATGTGATAAAGACCTTGTTCTAGTTTCATCTCTTTAATTTACTGGGTGTGTAGCCTTGAGCTCATTCTGCAATTTCTAAATCCCAACTTTATTATTTGTGTATTAGGTGGTAATATCTACTATGTAGTAGACATATAAAGCACTTAAAATAATGGCTGACCCAAAGTGTCCACTCACTGCTAACTGTTCCTACTGCAAATCTTTTCCTCAATATTTCTCAAATATGACACTGCCTGATACTGAGAATAATTTTGGCATATATTAACCTATATTGTAATTTACTTATACATTTTTGATCCATGTGGAGTAAAAAATATACAAAATACCACCTGCATTATACAGGAAACTTGGAAATTATTGTGTGGTTTAGCATAATCATAAGGTGTCCCAGAATGAATACAAGATCTGAGTGTTTTATAAATTAAAGAGTTAAAGCAAAGATCAAACTCTTGTGCAAAGGACTGCGACTTCTAATTTTTTTCTGTGGTTAACTGTAAATCATCTTGTAGTATTTTAGAAGTATAAGCTTCTGATTTTTTTTAGGCACTGTTTATTTTACTCCAGCATTGTGAGTAGATGGTGACTTTGTGCTATGATATTGAGAACTGAGCAGACACCAACAGTCCACTGGCTTTCCACAAAACAATGTTTCTAACCAGCCAGAATGCATACATTTCTACCATTTTTATTTCTATCTTTTGGGGGGCTAGGTGTTGAGGTAATAAATGCCAGAAATCTCTGACTGAAATTCAAAGAACTCCAAGATAGATGTGTAAATTGCAACACATTGAGTGACTGAGAGCCATGTTCATGAGCCTAAACTCCTGATTTGACCTGTTGAGACTATCGTATTTTGGTAGTTTTGCTTGTTCTTAGAAGATGCACGGTGCAAAGTATAGAGCATTGAAGGTGGATGGGGAGTAGCCTGTTGCAGAACAGGTGGGATGCATGCATGAGCACTGGCCAGCAAGTCAGGAGCTCTGAGTTTCATTGCAGGCTCTACCAAGATTTAGCTATTTGAGTGACAGATATATTTGAGCGACAGATCTTGAGTTTAAGATTCTTATCAGGCTTGCAATGGCAAGCTGTCATGATAGTGATCAGCCAGAAAACACAGTAAGCTGGAGAGGAAGAGGGAAGGCACAAAGAGCAGGAAAGGGACTGAGCGCTGAAGACAAACTTCCCGTTGCCTTGCCTAGAGGAAGACTTGCATCTGATCATTGGATGTAAAAACCTGGCCACTTAAATTTATGTTTAAATCAAAACTGTTTGATCAACATGCAGTTGCAAAGCAAATATAATGTAAAAGATAAAAATAAATCTTGATAATCAGAATGAGTATTGCTTGTTTTTCTTTTTAAAAAAAAACCAATATGTAATAAATATAATAAAACTAGGAAGCTTACATGTGCTTATTTGGGTGTTTTCAATTTCCCTTAAGTTCAGTTTGTAAGTTACACAAGTCCCCTATTTCTGTTAGTGAGTTTCAATGACACTGACTTGAAAGTTTTGATGCCCTTCAAAGACCACAGTTGTCTCCAGGGGAAACAGCAGGACCTCGTTATTATTTTACAAATTTTGTGAAATCCAGAGGACGCCGTTCAGTTTCACCAAATTATAAAAGCAGTTGCATGACCAAAGGACTGATTTTTGTATTGCTTTATAATTTAGGTGAAGTCTATCAAATAGAAAAACAACAACACACAAGTAGCTGCAGAAAAACAATCTAGAAATATGGCATTGGGCTATTTATTGTTCTATTTTATTAAAAATATAATCTCTCAACTACTTGAGTTTGAGACCTTGGATTTGTTCTTAGCCTATCTTCGCTTTTATTGGTAGTTTTTTTTGCCATTCCTTGCCCAAAAATGTAAAGGTAACAGAAAGAGGAGAAGGTGCTACAGATCAAAGTTTTTTTGGTTTTTTTTTCAAAATAAATTATGGATTTGGAAATAACCCATCCTGATTGGTTACTTTCTCACTAGTGTATGGATGAAGTAGCCTACAGATTTTTGGACATCCTAGACCAATAAAATGTAAGAAAGAAAAACAAAAAATTGGGGAATATAATATGGCTGAGTAAGGTACTAAATTAGGACATTAAAAATACCCCCCTATCCCACCATCATCTGAATTTTTTTATTGTGGAAAAATATACATAGCAATTGCCATTTTGAAAGTGTACATTTCAATGGCATTAATTACTTTCACCATGTTGTGAAACTACCCCCACTACCTATTTCCAAACCTTTTCATCACACCAAACAGAAGGCTAATTCCTTCCTGATATTCCAAACTGGTAAGCAAACTGGACTCAACTGTCAGCTTCAAAATGAGTCATTTGAAAAAACTGCACAGGTTTTAAAAACAGTTCCTTATTTTCGTGACATCTGTTATCACGGTGGTGGGTTTGAATGTGTAAGACTGACACTTGGGAAGCTGTTACTTTCATTAGGGTAGCCAAAGCTGCTGAGGATATGCAGCCAGAATGGATCTGTATCCTAACTGCTGCGCTTGCCACAGTCCACTGAAAACAATCCCTAGGCTTCCCTCTCCACGCCCTGTTCACATTGTTCCTCTCACAGCAACCTAATGCCTGGCACAGGCTAGTGTCTGTGAATGAAATCAACCAGTTTGCCTAGAGCCTACGCTTCTCTGTAGCATTAGACATGGACACCGACTATTGCTTTATGCAATCACTAGTAGCTAGCTCTCAAAAATTAAATAGAGGTGTTAAATACAACATTTAAGCAGAATGACTAATTTAGACATTGGTCTTACACATTACATTTGAGTAGGTAAATACATAAGAAGACAATATGGAGTCTCTTACTCAAACGGTTGATAATTATTTTGTTTCCCTCAGATTGGAATGAATCTAATTTTTCCTAAAGTTGTTCACCTGGAGTGAGAAGCTCCCATCATTTCGCT